ACCAACTGTTCAGCTGCTCCGAAAACAATCTTTCCTACGTGCTAGAAATGTTAATTCTGTCCCACAAATGGATGTAATTGGGCAAGAAAAAATAAACAAACTAAGGAACTAAAGGAGACACTGTCACGCTTTCTCCCCCCAAGAAAAGAATGTTAATGATACAAAATATAGATGAAGGCTTATTCAAATATACCAAATTAATTTTCATTTAAATAATTTTACTTTTTCAAAGTCTATTTGCAAGCTTTATTTTGTTGGCAAATAAGTGTAATTTATGTGTGTAAAAGCAGTATCATTCCTAATTATCTACTATTCAAGGTTTATGAATATCAATAGCTATGAAAGAGAAAAAGCATTCTCTTCCTTTCTTACCACTGCTCTAAACCAGCAATAATATCAACGACAAGCAGGAATCTTGAAGATCTTGACAAGGGACTCCAAATAATGAAACTCAAGTTTTGTTTCGTTTTGTTTTGGTTTTTGTTATTTTAATTCTATACCACTGTTGAAATAGAAGATAATTAAAATATTTTTAAGGTGGGTACTGATAAAAAAAAATTTCCTTGTAAGGTTACAGCCCAATTCCAAAACAGTTTCACTTTTCTTCTATTTATTATGTGCTACTGCAGAATCTAAGACAATTTACAGTTCAAACAAATTTAGAGTTGGAATATAAACATATATTAGTCACATGCATACATATATAAATAAAGAAAGCTGTAAATTTGGGGGAGGGAACACATCAATCTTTAATTTACAGAAGACTGAAAACACGCAACCAACTATGCATCCCTGAGCTCCACAGCTCAGGAATCTTCTTCCTTCTTTTTTTTTTTAAACATTTTATTTATTTATTATGTATACAATATTCTGTCTGTGTGTCTGCCTGCAGGCCAGAAAAGGGCATCAGATCTCATTTCAGAGGGTTGTGAGCCACCATATGGTTGTTGGGAATGGAACTCAGGGCCTTTGGACGAGTAGGCAGTGCTCTGAACCTCTAAACCATCTCTCCAGCCCCTCTTCTTCCTTCTTGAATGGTTATACTAACAATGATTTTCCCAATCCCACAACATACTTCATTCAACTATAAAATGTAAACCCTAGAACAATGCAATTAAGATAGCTAAAAATTGATAATTATATTCACACAAAAATGTCACAGGTTTTAAGGTTTCAGAAGCACCACTGGACAGTTCCCTGAAAAAAAATCCTTAAAAAAATACTCAAACATACTTGTTTGCTAATTAAAGTGGAATTTGTGGGATATTATGAAATCAGTGAGATATGACTATAGAGAAGCAGTATTACCCTGAATTGGCTCCTGTGAAAAAATTCATAAATAAAAAAAAGAATTACAAGGGCTTCCTCCCAGCCATTCAGCAAGTTGGCATTATAAAATCAGCATAACTCTCCAACTTTTAGAACAGGCCCTCTTAATTCAGCTCCCAAATAATTTCTTGTGTGTGCTGCTCAAATGTCTCCTGCAGAGGTCTGTGGGAACACATGAATGTGACAGGGCAGCACCCCATCTTCTTTATCCCTTGTTTGACCATTCTCCAGCCTCATCACCATCTTACTGACCACAGATTCTGTTCGTTTACTATCAACATAGATTCTGCTCATTTACTATCTATCTCAACTTATTAAATGAAAGTTCTACATAGGAATTACTTTATTTAAAAAAATTTTAGTTAATTTATTACTCTGTGTGTGTGTGTGTGTGTGTGTGTGCACCCATGTGCCATAGCATGCATGTATAGATCAGATGACAATCTGCAGGAGTCATTCTCTCCTTCTACCATGTGAGTTCCAGGAATCAGTCTTGAGGGTAAGTGCCCTTACCCACTGAGCCATCTTGCTAGCCCTAATCATCACTTTTGTTCAATGCTGAGACTGGAACTTACAGCTTCATCAAGTCTTCTAACCATGGAGCTACAGTCTCAACCCCAAGAATGCTTATGTGCTTTGCCTCCTAAATATCCACATCTAAAGAAGTCTATGTGAGGGCTTTCTACTATCTGAATGAATGGTGCTTTTACACTGTTGTATTTTAAACAATAAGCACTCATTGTAACATTAAAAAAGCATTTTAATTCACAAACATCCCAAACTGTGCTGTCTATAAAACATGGATGAAAAAGTAAACACAACTAAATAAAATAAGGACATATATGCTTTCCCTGAACATAAACCATTTGTTTCCAAAAAGTAAGAAAAGGAATTAGGAGTGGGAAACCCAGGAGGAGTTGGGGGGTATTATAATCAAAATACATTACATGCATGCATAAAAATTCTCAATAACAAATATATCTTAAAAGAAATCAAAAGTAAAGTATGTCAGATTTTTTTCAGAGCAGAACTGAAGTAAAGCTGTCATATGAACCTCATGCCTCTTGCTACAAAACTAAAAGCTGCGTGGGAAGCATGTTCAAACTGTAGAACAATTTATGACTTGATACCAACAGGCAGACAGGAAGGGCAGAATGCAGGTTAGGAGCCTTCAGTTTCCGTTTCTATGAAATAAGAAATTCAGGGACTAAAATAAGCTCTCTGAACAGAAACAGAGGGGAGGTAACCTGGGCCGGGGCCCGGGGGGGGGGGGGGAGAACAAGAGGAGAGAAGGGAGGGAAAACTCAGATCAGGATGTAAAATAAATGAAAAAGTAATTAAAAACAACAAAAAAGGAACTTCAGCTATCATTTAATAAGAATCCTGAATCCTCTGTGGACTTTAGATGAGATAACCATTTTTTTTAATAGCTTCTAGCTTCATCTCTTACTCCAAAAACAACATTTTTTGTATTTTTGAACCCTCCAATTACAAGACAGGATTTCTTTATTAGAATGTCTTGGAGAAGACAATGTAAGAGATAATGTATAAACTTCACTATACTTACATACTTTTTAGAAATAAACTTTATTGCCTTGGTTCGGGAGAAAAGAAAGAATAGTCTATTAATGACAACTCTACAATATAAAGCCAACTTCAAAAGATTCATCTTTAGTATAAATTTGCATTCTCATAACAAAATACATGAGAGACTAATTTCTGAATACATAAAGGAGACATACCTGGAATGATATCATTGATGTGCAGAAGAATTGTACTTTCAACACTCGCAAAACTACAAAGTTGTACTCCATCAAACCTTCCATCCCAGTTGCCAATAGGGTTATCCTTGAAATGCCAAAAAAGTAAACCTTTATACCTTTGTCAATAAAATATAAATATGAACACCAACATTTCTTACAAAAGTATTACCTAAAATATCTTTCATAGAGAAATGTTAACTATTTTTCCCAAAAGAAAGGCTGTATTAGAAATATCTGCTAAAGTAACGTTTTACAATAAAAATAATAACAATCAACTTAGAGCAAACACAGAAAATAATGAATCAAAAGCGTTTTTCATACTTTAGTTTGCAGTAATAACACCAGCTGAGGTTTAAAGAGACATTGTCTGCAAAAGAAAATTTACTAGGAATCCATTTTCTTACCCAGAAACCTCCCCTTAAAGTTAATCACACATTTGCACTCCCTGGGCACTGTGCTCACAGTATTACTATTTGTCTTTCTAGAAACAGAACAGCAGTTACTTCAGAATTCTCTTGTTATCTGTGGGTATACAAGATTTTCCTAAAAAAAAAAAAATGGGGATTTTCTAAGTTATTCTCTACTGTGTCACCAGCCACAGGAGTTATTAGTGAGGCACAAGCAGCTGGTCATGAAACAACTGCTCTGAGAACCAGTGTGGAATGTTAGCGTGTCCCTGGAAACAGACAGGCATGAGTAAAGTTGGGCTTGACGAACTTTCTTATCAAGAAGTCTAATGGGAGTGTTTGGAACTGATGCTCACATAAATCAAACGGAGGGGGTCACCATTAAGAAGGGAGAGGACCCAAACAGTTCATGTAACATCTAAAGCCTGGGCCAAGAAACCTATAGCAAGGGGAGACTAAGTCCAAAGAATAATGGCCTTCTTTCTCCAACATTCTCTCTACCCAGTCTACAACTCCTCTGAAACACTAAACTCACATTTAAAGAATTCTTGTTCTTAATTATTAACGATTCTGAGAGACCCACGGGTCTTGCTCTGGCTCTAATTTCACAAAGCAGGAGTCTGGCAAATTCTTATTTTGAACCTAACAAATGAGCCATCTTACACAATTTCTAAGGACAAGGTAACAGAAACACACTGGAACATTCATACCCAACCATTCTGTAGAGCATTTATGAATGAATAAAAATGATTATTAAAAATATTCACTGTGTGAGTCTGCTGTTCATATCCTCTCCTAATACACCCTGGTAAGAACAATTACGAAGGAATCTACTTTATCCATAATGAACTTTTCCCTATACTTTCAGTCTATGATAAAAATGTTCTCAGCTTCTTTCTTCTCATTCTCTTAAGGCCACATTAATTCACTATGTGCACTGGAATGCATTCATTGTTAGCAAGTGTGGTTATTCAGTAATAAAATGAGTAACACAAACACAAGGGGTGACACCATATGGCCTCACTTCTGAGGTGCCTACAGCAGGCAAATGCCCCGTCTGTGGTTACCAGGCATGGGCAAACTGGGCAGAATTTATTCAATAGAAACAGAGCACAGCACAGGATGATGAAAAACTTCTGTAGACAGACAGTTGAGAGTCCATGATGAGAATATACCAAATGATCTGAACTGCTAGGGTAACCATGGTTACGCTGGAACCTTTCTTATACACAGTTTGCCACAATAAGAAAACAGTTTTTAGACAGTGAAAATCCTGTGGGAATACTCTGTCAACTCAAAAAGCAGTATGGTTCTTTTCCTGGGAATTTTCTATTAATAACTTTCTACACTCATTATTATGAGAAAATTAGTTAAACTTTAGCAAATATGCAAAGAAATATCAAAAGTATTTTTCAATTAAAGGAAAATACAGTATCATACAATGTATTTGGACTTGGTTAGTCAGAGAAATGTCAGTTTGTTTTATTGTTTTGGTTTGGTTTTTGTTTTTGTCTATTGGTCAGTTAAAATGAGGAGAATTTAAAGACTGAGAGTATTATCCCAGTTTATTAAAACACGAAAAAATGTAGTAAACGTATTGTTTCTGCTCACATTTCTACTGTAATGTTCCTGTACCAAAGATAAACTGGAATATCTTCTTTAAAATACTGTAAATTAGTCCATGTTAAGAATACAAAGTATTCAATTTATACCTAAATTGGTAATAAAATTTATACATATATATATATATATATTCGCAATAATAAAACTCAAAAAATCCTTACCATGTCCACACCAACAAAATATCCTAGACTTTCTTTTCCTGGCAAAACATCACAGAATATTACTGTTCCAGATTCCACACTTTCTCCGACCTTCAGAGAAACTCTTGAGTTTATTTCTAAAGGGGGAGGTTCAGCCTGCATTGTATCCCCCGGAGCTGCAAAATCACTTTCCAATTCATTGTCATCATCTTCTATGGGCTCCAGCTTGTCCAATGCCACAAATACGCCACAGTCTTCATCACACTGAAAAAGCTGTTTCCCTTGATATACACCATCAGTGAAACCTTGGCCACGACCTTCTTCCTAGTTTTCAAAATTATTTTAAAAAGAGATATAAAAAGAGTATCCATTAAAGGGACTTCAGGAAATTACTTTGAAAAAACTCTAAATTACATTCATAATATGAAATATGACTAGCAGCTGCTGTTGGGTTTAGGGTGTTTAAAGAATAAAGAAGCCGTATCTGATGATGAAACTAACTCAGAATTACAGATCATAATTCTTTTGAGAAAGAGTGAGGATTAAATTTACAACATAGTTCTACCATGACTTTTGTTATGAACAGACATTCAGCTTTAACCAAACAGCAGCATCAGCTCCATCCATTTACTGAGAACAAACTGTAACCATCTACAGCCATCCACCATACAGCTACTATAAGTCATGTGTGCTCTAAGCACTTCACAATGAGGAACAAACAGATTAGGAAAACTTGATATAGGTTAGTTAAGCACCCTGGCAACCCTGCTAGTACATACCATAACTGGCAGTCGAAGCCTAATTATTTCACTGCTTGAAAAGCCAAATCAAGAGGCAAGGAAAGCACGACCTCTCTCTACTCGTGAGAGTGTCCAAATGTGAACCAACAGTCAGTTCAGAATATAGAATTCTTAGATATGCTGCCAAAGCAAGTAAGTTTCAAGGTAGTTTGTATATTCCAGGGATAAGCATGAGCAAACTGAAATTGCTGAAACACACTTCAAAATCTTACCTCTAAACTGTTATACTTAGTAGCATACACTAAGAACTGGGAATCCTGTAGGTACTATCACAAAATAGTTCACAATTTTTTAAGTGTTTACAATTACAATTGGTAGTGTTAACTTTTAATATAGGTAACTTAAAAACTTCCAAGATATGAAGTTCAGATAATGACTTGTAAATTTCTACTGTAAGAGATAATTTTTTAAAATTTTTCAAGAATTGTATTTATATCCTCTCAGCTTATCATTAAATAAATTTTGCGGCTGAACTATAGCTAAGTGGCAGAGGGCCCTGAGGTCCATCCTGAGAATTGTACTAAAAACAAACAGAAAACATAAATCTTATAAAGGGGAAAATATGTGCTCGTGGTCTCTCGCTCACGCGCGCGCTCGCTTTCTCATGCGCTCTCTCTCTCTCTCCTTCTTTCTCTCTCTCTCAAATGTCCTATCAAACTTACCAGCAATTCTACTCCAAAGAAAATCCCCGAAACTGTCCTCTCCGCTAATAAAGGTCCTCTGAAGCGTACAACTCCTGGAAATTTCTCTTCCCCAGATCGCAGCTGTACTTTCACAGGGCTGCCCACGTCTACCTGGAGGCCTTTACTTAGTCGAATTCTGTTTCTAAATAGGCTGAGCCTCTCCTCACAGTTGGTAATTGCCAACAGTAACTCTGTAAATTTCTCATTGATTTCTACAACATCCTTTTCATCAACAAAGAGAACTGCGTGCGGTTGCTCTAAGATTTTTAATCCAATCTGATTTTTCTTGCCTTTTGCAGAAGGAACTCTCGAATGCCCCACAGAACGGTCTTGGATGTACTGTCCTATACTTCCTTTGGGTACTTTTAGGAGTTTCTGTGTCTGTTTGTCTGTTACACTGCATTCTTGAAGAAGCAGATAAAAAATCCGTTCTTCCCAGTAAGGTGAAGTAACCTTCTCTTGGCTCCATAGGCCTGAACTCATTGTGACAGGAACTTCAGAACATCAACTCACAAAAAGGAGCCACTAGAAAATTTGTCATAAAATCCCCAAAAAGGAAGTTACTGGAAGTCCCAAAGCAAGCTGTTAACAACTTGGTGTCCATGCTGTAAAAAGACAGCAATTCAAAGTGCCTGGCAAACAAGCAAAACAAACTTTAGACTGTATTCAATATAACCTTAAAATAAAACTAAAGATTTTTTAAAATCTCATTTGACTATATAAATATCTCAATGAGCTGAAAGACCCATATGACTTGTGTCCGCTATAACTGCATTTGTAAAGAACTCCAGCAACAAAGCATCCATAGAAACAATGACTTTTCCAAAATTATAAAATTAGAATCTAACAAAAACTTTAAGATTATCCTAATATACAGACCCTGAGACTTTTTCTAAACTTTACAAAGTAGCATTTCTGTCGAACTTGAATGAAGAAGATACAATATTTGAGAAAACACACATAATCTTATAAATTAAAAAGGCTATTTCTAAACATGTAACTTAGAAAGTAACATATTACAGTATCAAACATCTTTTATCATTTAAAAATATGACAATATTACATTCTGAAACTTTATCCAAAATTCATTTATCTATAAGCTTCATTTTGCTAATGGAACATTATCTCACTCAATTTTATTTTATATATATTTTATTTTTATTTACATATAAATGTTGTATCTCTGAGATTGTATGGCACATGTGTGTACTCCAAGAGGCCAAAAGGGGGCGGTTAGATCCTCAGCAGCTGGTGTTACAGGCAGTTTTGAGCCATCCACCATGGGCGAAGAGAACTGAATTCAGGTCCTCTGGAAGAGCAGTAACTGCTGACCAATCTCTTTAGCCCCTCAATTTCATTTTCATATACCTATTGTGCTTAGACAAGGAGATATTAACTATACTAATTATAACTACTATTTAATTTCTTACAATCACAAGCATTAAATATTATAATCTTGAGTATATATATATACACATATATATTAGGAAATTATTTGTTGCATCAAAATTTGGACAATGCAATAATGATATATGACTATATTACATTGTTCTAAGATTTTTAGCTCAATTTGATTTTGATATTTTGTCTATAAATTATACTGAATTATAGATGCTTATATCTATAAATTGTGGGCTTTATACCACAATTTTAACTATGTAAAAAGGAAAGAATATACAAATGACTATTTTCCAGATTTAACTTGCATTGAAAACTTTTACAAAAATAATTTTACAATTTGTAGTCTCATTTTTAAAGACAACTTTAACTAATGACTTAAAACAACATAACTTCAAATGCTGTAAATGACATGCCCATTGTCAACGCCAGGCTAAATGAAGAAAAAGTTTGAAGCTATCCCACTAAAATCAGGACCAAGGCAAAGTTGTCCACTCTTGTTACACACAAATACCACAGTTCACATGTAAAGGTACAAGGACAACACAGGAATTGGTTCCCTCTGTTCATCATGTAGGCTCCAGGAATCGAATTCAGGTCATCAGGCTTGGCAGCAAGCGCCTTTACCTGCTAAGCCATTTTTCCAGTCAAACATATACTATTTCATAAGCCAATTTAGAAATATAAGTTAAAAGAAAATTAGCTTTATAAGGGAGATATCCTGCTCGACTAAATAATACTACCCCTGAAAGTCATGGTTATTAAACAAAAATCCCAGTGCCAGATGTAGGAATACCTCCTTAAGAATTGTTAGGCAGGGAGCTTCCATATGCCTCCAAGACAGTCCAGACTCTTGCCAGTCCTCTTGGTTGCCCACCAGAACTAGATGATGAGATTCTATTACTTAAGACACCACATTCCTTAGCTGTAAGATACAGAGAAACCAAGACGTGAAGCTAGAGTTGGGATGGACACATCATCCTCTGACTAGCTTTCACAGTGCTGAAAGGTGCTACGCAGGCTGGGTAGGCAGAGTAGGACGTCAGTGGTCTTGCCCAGCTGCGAATCCTATGAACTACAATACTAACCAAGCAGGCAAGACTGTGATGGACTCAGTAAACCATGTTCTATTAAATTTGAGGCCTGCTCTGGTAGAGGGAATCCATGCCAGGTATAAACCAGTTCAGAAACCCATAGCATAGAGGCTAACTGCCAAAGAAAAATTTTAAAAACTCAATTTCATTCTTTAAAATTAAGGAATTATTTAATTATTTCCATGAAAAGAATGGTTTCCATGTATCTCTGTCATAAGAATGTAGCTACTTGATTCCCAAATACAGTACTTGTTTGTTTCATCCTTCCTTGAGACAGAGATATCCTTCTCCAGCCCTGTGGTTGAAGGCAGCAATTAATAACATTATACTATGTAAGCATTTTATTCTTGTAATTCAAATCAAATAAACTTCAAACTAAAGCATCAAACTGTATTATTTGACTCAATGATTAGTCAACCAGGCAATTCAACACACAGAGTAACAGTTCTCTTAGAAAACACTTTTAGGTGATAAAGTGTCCCATCATAGTAACATTTTCACAAGTCTCTTCCTCTGTAAGCCCAAAGGAGAGACACAAATCGCCCAAGACAGGCTAAAGTCAGCGCTCCTCCAGTCCACCATCACTTAAAGCATCTTTGCAGGTATTTGGTGAAAATGGATGAAGCCCATGCAGTTTGAGCGGCTCCTCTTTCTGCTTCCTTTGTGATGTGTCTCTAACTCCACTTGAGGGCACTGTCTACTTCAACAGAAACGGAATCAATCTATAGCAGCCACTTACATAACACACCTGTGGACACCTCAATCTTAACCCCACATAAACAAAATCCCTAAAAAAAAAAAAAGGAAAAAAAAAAGCACCAAAGAAGCTACCCAACCCCTTAATGTGGCTCTGTGCCCCTGAGGCACCAAGATAAAGTGTTTTGTCTTTTGTTGTTGTTGTTTTGTTTGGTTTGGTTTTACTAAAATGCTATTAATATGTCAGCATTTCTTCAAGAAAGGAAATTACTTTTTCCTCAATCGCTAAGAATCATTAGGAACATAAATTATTATTAGTGAGCCTCAAAATATATGTCTATTTATTATTTCATTAAAAACCTTTCCATCCTATATGGCCCTCTTGCAATCAGCCATTTTCTGTGGTTTCCTGCAGTCTGTCTTTGACTCTTTTTGTGGCCTCCTTGCTTTCCAATTTACTATTTCTAATCAGTTCTAAGAAGTGAGGTGATGAGGTATGTTTCTGTGTCTGAAAAAGCAAAGCAACAAAAACAAAAGGAACAGACAAATTCTAGAAGGGTCTTGAAAAATAAGGTGCATAAAGACTTATTACAAAGATATTCTTAAGACTGTTCTCAGAGGTTGAAACAATCAAAAAGCAGTGGGTTATTGTTTGAGGATCTCTTTAAAGTGCAAAATTTTTGGTCAAAAACATTTCACAGCTATTTTATTTTTTAAATAATTTTTTTTCTAAAACCAGGTATCTTTAAATAGTAAGCTGGAAATTGCGTATTCTTATTGATTCTCTAACTTAACAACTAATGCCACAACTTAAAATGAAAAATATAAGTGTTAATGAAGCATTGTGAAATCAAAACAAATCATTTTATTTGTTTTACGATATTATATTTCAAATGAATTTGCTTACAAAATTGCCTTTTGCAACTCATTAATGGAAGTAGTACACAGTTTAAATAAAGAAAACGATAGCTTTTTGGCTAGTAAAAAGGTTTCTGGAAACAAACAGAAGTTTTAAAACACCATTTTTAAAGTGAACTAGCAGAGAGTGATGAAAGTCTGCCAACTTTTTGCACAAGGGAACCTGAGTTTATACTCAGTAATAGGGTAGGTCACAACAGACAACTAGAATAGTCAAAGCAAACATCACAAAATACTTAAGGTGTCATCCAAATATAAGAAACATGCGTGACCTTCCCTCTTTACAAGAAACATATTAAGAATAGTCTTGAAACACATTACAGTTAATTTCCCTTATTACAAATAATAAAGTTGAATGAAGAACTTTATGGTTCTTTCTAGATATACACTTGATGATAAACCAAATGATCATTTATCGTCTGAAGATATCAGCATTACAAAAGAAATGCACTAGCATCTTTCCTCCCACTGTAGTAATAAATATAATGTTAACATTCTCGTTCCACTGGAACTTCACAGTCGTTAAATAAAGCCTTATAACCCCCATGCAATAAGAACAGCCTCAAGACTTCTCTCTTTGTAGAAAGAGAAACATCAAAATCACATTGTGAGTCTTTCCAGGTCAGGGTGAGTATTCAGATACAGTCAGGGTTAGACACTGAAATCCACAAACTTTAAGTATGACGCCTGCTTTCCACCTACTCAGTTTCTGCTTTAAATACAGGTCATGACTTCTGCAATAGAAGGAAGACAGGTCTCACCAAGGCCATGGTCAAGAGGATGGGGTTAGATGAAGGGAGAAATTTTCAATTGTACTCTCTTGTTACTTGGCATATGGAATCACTGTGAAAGTGAGTATATCTCACGAACAACTCATCTAAACACTGTCTCAGGTCAGATTGGGTAACAGTGATCGTGTATATTTTGAAAATTAATGAAGTATTGAAAGAAGTGCATAAAAGAGCTGGAACACAGCAGTGTAGCCTCAAACTGTTCAGCCTGAAATAAGGATGAACAGAAGCTTCTTCTTTTCTATTTTTAAGACACTGGAGGCAAGGGAACAGTAAAGAGTCACAGAGACTTGAAATCATATCTGTTTATATTAGGAGAGTTTCCTTATATTAAGATAAAATCATTAAACTAAATGAGGGTTGAAAATAGAAACGTTGATCAATGTCCAATGAATGAAATGAAAAGATGATCAAGATGTAAGTCCTAGCACAAATATTAAAGATCAGACTTACCAAGTTCTAAAACACACAGCACAAATGGCCATCAGTTACACAGAAATGGTGGCTGCTAACTTTTCTAGAGTATAAGACATCTTGATATCAGTTCAAGTGATCAGGTTGCACCATCCTAAGAGGCTCATAAAAACAGGTGTGAATCAGGAACTTCTGACATCTTCTGAGGCAGCCTCCTTATTCTAAAACACCACAGGGAGTTTTCTAAATCAGCACAGAAATTGAAATACTAAATACTGACCAAACCATAAATGGTGAAGAGGTAAGCAGGCTGGCATGGATCCTCAAGAAAAGATACACATCTTTTTCCAAATGCTTCAAGACAGCTAGGATGACTATCGGTTTAAGAAAAAACAACCCTCACTAAAAGAACAAGTTGTTATATGCCTAAACAGTACACAGAAATACAGAGATTTCAAGACCAGAATAACTTACAACACAAGGATACAGTGCCTAAAACAAGTGGGTCTTACAAGGTTTAAAAAAGACAAAGTCTGGTTCCTACACACAGTCACATCAGTAGGACCACCGCCCTACTCCTTGTCTTCCCAGGGCCTAGGCTGGGAAACTTCACTAGCTTAGGAGGTAACAGTGAAAGTTAAAACACTTGTCCTTTTAAGTGACTCAAGTCTCTACTACGTTAAAATATAAGATCAAGAAAAAGGAAAATGACTTTTGCCTAAAATACCATTACTCTTTGGATAAAAGAAATCGCAATCAGTTTTAGACTATGCTGCCACACATATAAGTATAAACAAGGGGAAATGTCACACTTTAAGAAACCAAGCTGTTCTGAGCTTTATTTGACACTGGCTTCCTAGCCTCACACCACCTATGACATATTTTTAAAAAATAAAGAAATTTAAGATGATAGTATACAAGCCAGGAAACAAAATACAATTATAGTTTGAGGAGCAGGATAAATTACTGTCCTTGCTCTTCGTGTATTAAAGACTCCCTTAAATCAGTTAACCACAGTTTAGCTATCTGCTGTTCGATGGTATTTTATATAACAAGTTCCTGGCCTTATCGGCTCATCTCAAAAGTTACCACTCCAAAGAAGGATTTCTTTGAAAGAATACCTTAGAATTTTGCAGCAGAACATTAGAGAATGTTCTGGGTACTGTCAACATTCAAATTACAGGAACCTCTCACTAAGAATTTCCAGCAAGTCATTTTCTCTTAATACTGTTCTAGTGCAAATCCACCCACTACCCAGTGGGGAGCAGCAGGCTAAATTCTTGGGGCCACTCAACCTACTTGAGGTGTGAGGGGGTGTGCAGGAGACTGATGCCTGAATGCACGCCCCCTTGAGGCCCGTATTCTTCTCTGGAGCCAATGATTACAAAAATGAACAATCTTATTAAGATTCCCTAATTAGCCCTAACTAAAATAAAAAACAAGGTATGAATGAATGCTCCTCTAAGAAGACAACTTCCCAGGAAAATCAGAGCAAGGACGGTGGCAAGAATAGGGGGGTTGGGAGATTGCAAGGTTTGATGGCTAGAAGATGACAAACCCTTAAAACATGCAAATGTCAAGGGGTGGAACAGAAAAAGATGCCAAGGACATGAATAACCGGCAGCTGACCCAGCTGAACGCAGCTCAAGACCGTGATCTTCATTCACGACTTAGCGATTCTCCAAGGCTGACCATGGGCAATAAAAGCAAAGCGAGGTACCTGTCTCAACAGGGCACACCTTCCAACTACACAACTGTGCAAAACCATTCTCCTCCCTCCCCTTTCTCACTCCTCCACCCCGCCCGCCACCCGAGACCAGGGAAACTGAAAGAAAAAAAAAGCAGAACACGCCATTAGCGAGGCCGGACTGCTCTTCCGGGAGAGGAGTCTCCAAGAGCCCCCGAAACGACACAGGCATGAAGTAGCACAACCCGGGGCTCTCCGCGCCTCCTGCAACCCACTGGGGACCAGTCAGGGTCCCGGCCTCAGTTTCCCTATCTGTCAACGACGGCGGGCCAAAGAGGGAGTCTAAGTCCTGCGCTGCTCCTCCCCAAGCCCTCTGGTCCGGGAGTCCCGCGACTCGAAGTCCCCCGGGAGGCAGGAGGTGGGCAGCCGGGGCTGATGTCAGAAGCTCGGCTGCCCGGGGCAGCTAACGGGCGGGCGCTGAGGCCCGACGGTCGCCTCTGCAGCTCAGGGAGCCCCGAGGCACAGCAGCAACGCCGAGGACCATGCCTTTGCTGCTCGGCCGCACTCACTCACCCTTCTCGGCCGCCGCTCAATGCCCCGGGCCCGGCTTCATAGACTGCGTGTCCGGGGCCGGCCCGGAACCCCACACCCACCACCCCAGTATTTACCTCAGGCTCGCGGGCCCCCGCGCAGCCGAACCTGCTACCTGGGCCCGCCCCCACCTGCCCCGCCTCCGAACCGCCCGCGGGGAGGGAGGAACGGGGGCGGAGAGGGCAGACGCCGCGCCAGCCAATCGCATCCAGAGATTCGTCCCTGCGCGCGCTCTGATTGGGTCTTAATGTAGCAGCTCTTCCTCCAATGGCTGCCGGCGCGGCGCCGGCCGAAGGGACTTTCCGCTCTGTCAAGCTCGGTGGAGCCAAAGGGAAAGCGAAGGGGCGGTGCAGAAGGGACAGAAGAGAAAGGATGGGGGCGAGGAGCGAAGGCTGATTGGACCAAAGGCTGTGGGTGCCGCGTCACCATTGGCTAAAAACAGACATGGGCAGGGCGCTGGGCTCCCAGCTCCACCTCCCTTTCGCGAGTCTGGGCTCTTGCCCTAGCTGTCAAAACTCGGGTGGGAAGCGGAGAGCTGAGAATAGTTTTTTAGAATTCCATGAAAGATCGAAGCTTAGAATCGCACCTAAGAGTCAATGTTTTCTTTCTCAGTTATTCGCCGTGTGACATGGGGAACTCCCGACCATGCTGAGCCTCCATTTCCTCATCTGTAGATAGAAGGTGTTAGTACCACCTGTCTTACAGATTCTTGTGAAATGCCACGCCGCATCCCCGAACAGGCGCTCGGGAAAAGTTGAGGCGCTTCCTGCCCTCAGATGGGGTCCAGAACGCCTGCTGTTTCCGAACCCCTGGGGCCACCTGGCCCGGGTTGGAGAGAGTCTCCTAAGGATAGAGAAGGGATTTCCACCCTCCTCCTTACCCAGGCCCGCGCCCCTGGCCACCGGCCAGATTTGGGGTATAGTTAAGGATCTTTCTATTAGAAGAGAGGCTTCTAACTCCCAAAAGTGCTCACAATATTTAAGGAAACTCTTTTTATATTCAGTCCCAGAGACTGGCAGTACAAGCCTTGCTTCGCTGGATAATCCTCTTAATTAATTCCTTCTCCTTTGACATTTTAACTACTAATTATGGGAGAAGGTGATTAATACTGAGACAGAAGGAGGGGTGCGTGTGTGTGTGTGTGTGTGTGTGTGTGTGATCGTTAATCGTGACACAAATTCCCCCAGTGGAAAGTGGCATGTTTCTGAAACCAATGAGAAGATAAAAGCGGGCAGACACACGGGTGATTACCAACAGTATAAACTCACCCCATCTCTCCCTGCTGAAATCACCCACGGGGAAACTGACATCATTTGTAAACCTAAGCCTCAATCACTGGTACACATACATCCTGTTCCCACCTTCCTGAGCTCTAGCAAGAAGCAACATGATACGAATCAACAGTGACGTGCAGTGGCCTTACACAACACCATTCCCTGATAGATCTGGATTCTCCCATGACACTGGCGGGACCCGGAGATCCAATCTGGCTGTGTGGGAGAACATTTCAGCCTGGAAACTGGTTTTGCTTGACTCCATCCAATAAGAAAGAGAAAGGAGTCAAGGAAGTGGACTTGGGGAATCTTCTAATGAGGCAAGCACTCTTACTTTCTCCATTTTGCCAAACTCCTCCCCAGTGTTGCCTCTCCTCAAGTCTTCTCTCCTTGTGCTCCTTCCTGGGTTGTCATTCCAGGCCACAGTGGCCACACACCTTACTTAGCCCTCCTCTTGTCACATGCTCACCAAATCGGGGTTAGGGCCTGACTTCATCATCAGCTAAGCCAATCCTTACACCCAGGCTCCTCTTAGTCACCATCCCTGCCGAGAACTGAGCTGACGCGATGCTCAAGAGATGCCTGCCGTGATCTCAAACAGGAGAGCAGACGGTGTCATCACCCTACATATTATTTGCAATTCTGTATCTTCCAGCCTCCCATTTTACAGAAGGGAGAGCAAGGTCCAGAGATGGAAAATGGATTCCCTCAGATGCACAGACGCTGTCTCCCCACCTGTGCTTAAATGGTTTCTCTGACTGAGAGGTTATCATCCCTGCCTAAGCTTCCCTTCACGTGGGACCCAGCCTAGGTCCAAACTCTACCAACAGTCTTTTCAGAGCCTGCTCACCTCTTGCTTCCCTACCCTCAGCCTGCCCCAACCATCCTGCCCTTGGCTATGCGCAGATTAGGTTGAGATGTGGAGGAGCTGGCAGGAGTCAAATCAGTGGACAGGGGCAGTGAGCGCCTGCTTCCAGCAGGGAACACAGAGCACAGGGTAGCCCCCTGCTGTCCCCATTGACAGCTCAGTCAGAGTTAGGAGAAGAACAGTCTGAGAAGTACTCTCAGAAGGGAGGGGTGAGCTCGGAGGCAGCCTGAAAAGGCTCCTGCAAAATAAGAGAGCAATGACGAATGTCACAAGAGCTGAGGGAGCAACCCAAAGGGAACAGAAAGTGCATGAGATACTGAAGGAACTGAGAAGGCTCTGACAGCATGGCACACTTCGTCAGGGCCAGGCAGGGCCTCATCCCCAGAGCAATGGGACTCCTTGGAGGGTTTTTAATCTGGTAGCGAATGTGATTCTAAGCTGTCTTACCCAATTCTTTTAAGGCATGAGCAGGATCCCTAATGCATGGCTGGTGAGCTGAATGCAACCCCCTGTAGACATTGGTAAATAAATCCAGGTAGCTTTTTAGGAGCTATTTCAGACACACCGTGGAGACTGAAGGAAGCATTTCTTCGTAGTGCTGGCATAGCCCTGATATAGACCCTGCTCTATGCCTCCCAGGGGTTACTCCCATGCCTCATTAAAAACTCAGTAAATACCCACAGTGTTTATTTCATGCATATCTGTATTTAACACAACCTAAAGTGAATGGTGTCCCTGCCCCACTGCAATACTACCGTACCCCACCACCACAGCGAATGGATGACTTCCTGCCACACCCCCAGCCTCCCTGGCTCTATCTGCGTTCCTACCAACCCAGTGAACAGGGCTCTGAACCAGAATGAGCTCTGAACCAAGAAGCCACCTAGACCAGGTATCCTTGCAGACGAGGATCAGGTACCACTGCTTTCTCCACAGAAGCCCAGCATGGTGTCTTCATGGGGAGCTGAGTGTCCTCTGTCACAGATATATCTATCTCTGAGGAGGGCGTTGTGGCAGACCTGAGCACTCTATCCGAAAGCTGTTGCGCTGTCCATCTCCTTTCAATGAGATAAAAGGGATTGCATTAAATGTCTTTAAGCTAATCCAGCTGAGCCCCTGCTCCCCTCTTGGAGCTGTTATCAGTACTCAGTAGTGATGAGTGATTTCTGTGGGCGACTCTAAAACACGCAGAGGAAAGGGCTCGGTGCTCTCCTCTGACACATTTGTGCCACATTGAGACCCATTTGGGGTAGCGCATGCGCTGAGCGTGTGTCGTGTCCAGTATAGCCACCCTTCCTTGGGAAGGACACCCTAGCGGTGCCCTGGGCAAGTAGATTCATTCTTCTCATCTGTGCCAGCTTCGGCTTCTGCCCCCATTAAATACAGTTCATTAAGCGAGCTCTTCGCTTAGTTTAAAAAGAAAAAAAGATTGAGCACCTAACATGTGCTGCGTACCTTCCCAGGCTGAGGGCACTGGAGTGAGCTTCGCCTCTGCTCTCAAGCAGCTGGCATTCCGGGGAAAGCCTTTGCTAAAGTCTGCTGCTGGGACAAAATACCCGAGAAAGCTAGCTTGGAAGGAAGAAGGGTTTCTTCTGGCTCAGGGTTTTCCCCATTGCTTTGACCAGTGGCTTTGAGCCTACGGTATTGAACTATCATAGGGTGGCAGTCGCTTGCCTTGAGGTAGTGGAGAAGCCTAAAAGAGATGCAAGGGAGAACCAGAGTCCCACTATCTCCCTCAGTGGCACAATCCCAAATGACAGAAGACCTCCTATTAGACTCCAACTGTCAAAGGCTCCACAGCGTCCCAATAGAGCCACATATTGCTAATTAGGTTTTCAAAACACAGGACTTCGAGGGATATCAAGATCCGAACTCTGTCAAGAAGAATGAGGCAAATGCACACAAGGAGTCAACACTGAGAAGACCCGGAGGCAGGAGAAAAAGTGGAAATGGGCAGAATATTCAAGGAAGGACTCCCTCAAGGAGGCCATGTGGGGGGGATGGGACCATAAGGAAGTAGGCGCAAGCATTAGCACAGGGAATGGTGGCACCTTAAAAATGATCCTGAGTAAACTGGGAGCGTGGGGGTCACGGGAGAAGGTAGAAGGAGAGGAGGAGGATGGGAGGGGAGTGGAGTGGAGAAAAATGTATAGCTCAATAAAAACAATTGAAAAAAAGTAAGATTTTTAAAAAGAATGATCAGGCAGGTGCGCAGGTCTGGAAGGAGAAAAGCCCTCAGCAAAGTAGTAAAGAACACGGTGCCAGTGGCCAAGGGAACAGACACAGGACAGTCAGCAGGAGACTCTGACTTTACTCTGCGCTAGGTGGGAAGTCAAAGAGGACTTAGAGCCGAGCAGAAGCTAATCCGACTTGTGCTGGTTCTACTAAATCAATCTGCAGGCCAGGGGCAGAAGCAAGGAGCCCAGCCAGGGGGCTGCTATCGGCAAGGGACCCCTGCGTCCTGGCAATGGAAGTACTGAACAAGAAGCGGTAGAGATGAGGGAATGTGGGGTGAAGATGCCAAGAAAGAACATAGGTAGGACTGGGGGTACACACCTGTCACCCCAGCAGTAGGGAGGCAGAGGCGGAAAGATCTCAAGTTTGAAGCCAGTCTGGGCATCATAACAAAATGTCAAAATAATAATAATAATAATAATAATAATAATAATAATAATAATAATAA